ATTAGTACTGTAGTCACGAGATTTTGCTTGTGATTTGACATCTTATTTGATAATATCATTTGCTACAACTAAATTTAATCTGGGGAGTGCAAAATAGGGCCCAGAAATATTATGTTCGATATTTTTTTACATTTTATCAGCCGAGACTATGAGTCGTTAGACAGAAAACCTTTCATGTTACCATTTTCAATATAAATTAAAAAATTAAAAAAATACTACTACATTTACTTGGTACATATTTTATTTTAATTTTGAACCCTTTTAAAAGGATCTTTCGGTTCCATAATAAAAATTAGTTGCTGCTTACTAGAAACATTCTATATAGCCTAAACCAATTTATAGTTTGTTTTCGATCAATTTAATACAAAGATTTAAAGTTTTTAGTCGATGATAACATTCCACACCAGCACATTGCAAACCTATTTTATAAATAATAGGAATAAACTTGTAAATCATTAATTTGGTAGTTATCTCACTCATATGATTTTTTTGTTTATATGAATATTTCGATTTCTAAATATATTTTGGCCTTACAATACGAAGCGTTTTGTATCTACCACTTTTTTAATGAACGATGAATGTTGACAGGCGTGTACCTTTTTCGGAACAAGAGGCGTTTTAACGAAGGAAATGATTTTCGAACTATCTAGTTAGTTTTCGGAAAAATAGAAAACGTTTGAAGAAAGTTGTCAATAACAGTTTGTCGTTCATGTGTTTCATTTTGATCAGCTTTCATACTAAATTGCGTAGAATATTTTTCCGATTCAAAATCGAGATTCTCGATATTTCCACACTTTATTTATAATAGCTTCTAAACTGGATTTATCTATCATTTTATAAACTTTATAATATATGTTCATGCCCTACTTTTCACTTTATTAACAATTTTTTGTTAACATACTTCAAAATGGTAGGATATTCTCAATTCGTTGAAATATTTTTTTATGTATGTTGAGCGATAATTCTTTACCACGTTGCCCGATTTCTAGGATTCTTTTTGTTAGAAAAGGAAACAGTTTTATATACATTAAGTCAAGATCTGAAGATGGGATCCATAAGAAAATCATTAACATCTTTATTTTTAAAGTAGGTTTTTTTTTAAATTTCTTTAAACCTTACTGGTTCGAACGCCGTAAGGAATGAAGAAATGTAAATAATTGTTGTGCCAGCCAAAAAACGAAGAGGAAGTACCGATTAAAATATCGAGTGACAGAAGAGTTCCTAAGATTGTTGAGATCGGGTTTATGTTTTAAAATGCCTTAAAACCGATATCGATAATGTCTCCCCGTCGCTGGGCAGCCTGTATATAAATATATAGATCTCTATTTACATAATTATAATTCTTAGGTAGGTTTAGATTTGCAGACATAAATCTTGTAATAAATATAACAGCTGCCTAATACATTGATTACATTTTCATTAGCCAATGTAAAAATGTCTTTTATTGTACCTAGGATTTGACTAAACACTACACAAAACTAAAAATAAAATGCCACTTTCATCGTGTAAGTAATGCCGCGTTTGAGAATCCACATCGGATGCATTTTTTACATCTCGAGCGTTTTTTATCCACATCGGACACATCTGTCCCATTACATTTACGTATACTGAATCACGTGATCAAAGATTTACTACTTACTACATCTCAGATGCATCCGATGTGGATTCTCAAACGCGGCATAAATAATAAACTACAAACGGTCCTGTAAGGGCAGCGTCATATAGCCTTGAAACACCGGATTTTAGTGCTATTGCCAGGTCAATATTGAATTTGTAGGTCAATCGCTTATTGAACATTAAAAATACGGTATTAATGACATTAATACGGTATTTGTATATATTTTTGGGAATATAATTACACATAAATATTATTAGTTGATTATTTAAATGTTTATAAGTTATTTTGTGGCGATATTTCGTAGATATAAACTGTTTAAATCATATAATTTAAAAATTAATTAATTTACAATTCTTTTCTGTTAGGTATGTTTAATATATTTGGCAACACTACAGGGACAAGTCATGCTTATTGCGCAAGCTTCTAGACATTAATACGGTATTTGTATATATTTTTGGGAATATAATTACACATAAATATTATTAGTTGATTATTTAAATGTTTATAAGTTATTTTGTGGCGATATTTCGTAGATATAAACTGTTTAAATCATATAATTTAAAAATTAATTAATTTAAAATTCTTTTCTGTTAGGTATGTTTAATATATTTGGCAACACTACAGGGACAAGTCATGCTTATTGCGCAAGCTTCTAGACACACTATTTTGCGATGTCAGGCGCAGAGACGCGTTTTTATGCACAGTAGGTTTCAATTTCTGCTTAAATGTTATGTTTATATTGGTCTTCTATATTATTTCTATGATTAATTGTCACTAAAAGTTAATAAAAGCTAGCAACAAGAAAAATATTGCGACGACGCGCGACGTTCAGACAAGGTGTAAGAAAGATCCATAATGAAATTCATTCACTAAGAAAAATTTGAAAACAACGTGGTACTGTGCAAAGAAAAGAACCTTCCAATCTTCTAACATCGGAAGGCTACTAATTTATCGTCCTAAAAACTCAAGATAGTGGGCGCTTTTTCGTAAATGTTTAGGTTTGGATAAGCGGTAACAGTGCTGGAATGTATTTGCAAATTAAAGGACGATGAAGAGTCGAGCATTTCATGAACGCCTTCTTAAACAACGTGACGTTATTATCAATAAGAAAAGTTTTTACTAAACATTTTACCTTTTTATATGTAAGAGATCAGTTTATTATACTCGTAATGGTTTATAATAATTTATTTTTATTACGAGCTAAAGCTCCAGATCATACAGCTCAATAGTAAGAGAGTGAATAAACAACAACAGAACAACATAATTTTTCTGTCATGGCCAGCAAAAAGTCGTGATTTGAACCCCATTGAACAGTAATTTTTTTATAACTCCATTTTAAACTTTACCACTTAGCTAAATTTTGCCGTTCAGATATCACGGGAGGCCGAAGAAATAATTGTTAAAGTTGAAAATTTTATGTCCCCTATGTCCCGTGGCGTGTACCAATAAATTTTATTGCCGAATGTCTACTTTTATTTTCCTAATAGTACCATCTTTGTATGTATGATAGGGACCGTGCGTGAAATATAGAGGCAGCACTACTGCCGAAGTTAGCCCTCTCTAGTGTTTAATTTTAGAATTAAATGGGGTAAACATTGCAAGTAAATAATAAAGAATATTTTTTAAAATATTAAATATAGTTAAATATAGATACCGGCCCGTACCAAACAATCGGGTACATGGTCAAAATGATATAAAATGTAAAACATTATTAAAATCTGGACATGTATATACATTTTAAGCAAAAAGATTTATATGGCTAATTGACAATAAATTGTAAAGTTGTACCTTAAACAAGTGTATCCAATGTCAAAATATCGGTATTTAGTAACACTGAATTTAAAAGTATTACAATAACATTTAAAAAATGTAAATTAATAAAAAAGATTGGGAAAAATTTATGCTAGTCAAAATTTCATTCATCCACTGACGTTTATGAGACGCCCAATGATATACATATTATAGATTGCTCACCCATCTATAAAAAAATTACGAAAAGCGGGTTGCAATGTGCCTTTCCTAGTGCTCACTAAAATAGAGCCGTTCTAGCCCAATTGTGTTTTAATATAAAATTTCAGTATTTTAATCTTTAGAAAACGAAAATAATTAAAGTTTTACTTCAAGACACGTTATTATGTATTTGGAAAGTTGAGTTTTTATGTTGTTAAATAATATTAAGAGATCTAAACAATTTTTAAAACAGATGGATATAAATAATTTTAGACTACTCTCATTTCAGAAATTACACTACATAAAATACATAATTGCAATATGTAATACAATTTTGAAAAGGAAATGTAAACAACTTTGATATGAGATATAAAAAACTTTGGTAAGAGTTGTAATTGGACACATCTATTATTCTGAATAATGTTTAATGGTAATGTCACTAAAAAAAATTACAAAAATCACTGGATTTTTAATATTTTAAAGTTTGTTGCAGTCTCTTTTGATAGTACTTGTAATGTACGTATTATTTATGATTTGTTTATTTTAGTAATAAATGAGAAATAGTTAATAAATTGTAAAGAGGGCTATGATATTTTTGTCAAATTGGACATACTTATTTCATAGTAACATTCTACATTAGTTTTAATTAACAGAATAAACCATTAATTATCTGTAAAATATTCATTTAAATGTGTAAAAATCTTAATGACAATAAAACACTAAAGACTCTAATTTCTAAACCGGTTCTGTAAATGTTCAAGTGCTCAAAATTGATACAAAGCTAGATAAAAAAAAAACTTTGCCCAGTGAAATACGCTTTTCGTCATCTGATTTACATATGGATAAGCAATCTATGTAATGTAATTATGTATATCATTGGGCGTGAGACACTTAATTCTGCTCTGTGAAAATGTATAAAATTTCTTTACTATTGAATGAAATCCAGGTTTCCAAAGTAATGTGTTCGTACATCCACGGATGCAACAAGTTTTTTCGATAATGATATTACGAAAATAATTCGACTTTATTTAATTAATAATTATTAAACAATAAATGCCATATAAAATATTAATAAATACCTCCCATAAAGTTCAAATTTTTTTCACCAGTTAGCGTTAAAGTCTTGACGCACGGTCCCTATAGGAAGAGTGAAATACTCGTAATTAAGTGTCTGTTCTTTTTTTACCAATTCTGGGCAATGCAACAAAATAAAAATGGTAGCGTCGATTAAAATTTACTAAGAGTATATTTTAAAATTTCTGTAGTCGATATGTATTTTAAATTAACAATATTAATATAATATGTTTTTAAACTAACTTAAACTTGTTAAGGATCTGTATGAATTAACATTTAAATCTTATGATATGAATAAAGATAGTTTTAATATTTATTTTCAATAAAATCGAGAAATTCATAGACTTTTTTTTGCAGAATGAATCATAGTTCAAGAAGTTTTAAAATTTTATCCAAAGTTCTTACAGAAAGTAAAATCAATAATTCTGGTACCAAAGAATTGCCTCAAAGTTTAGATCCTGATAACGATAAACAGTCAGATAATAATGAATTATCCTTTACAATACAAAATTTACAACAAGAGTATTTTCAAGTTCAAAGAGCACTAAGTAATGAAAATATTGATCCTAACATAGGTAATGCAAATTTTGTTACCGAACTAATAGGAATTAACAACAGTGACAATTTAGATACCCTAATAAACATAGATTGCCTAAATAATATTTCAATAATTGAAGAACAAGACATAGGAATTGCAAATCACAGTATTATTAGTAAAAATGTTATTCCAAAAAAAAATTTGTAATAACCATCCAAGTACAACATCAACTGATATAGGACAAATAACGCAAAATGAAGATAACTCAGATAAAGATTGGATTGAAAACTTAGAAGAAAATTGCCACAATACTTCAGAAAGCAATAAAACTGGTAACAATGAGACAGACGAAAACAACGTTAGCTTTGGAGATAATACAGAGGAGATCAATAAAACTAAAAACAACTCAGAGGAAGAAGAAAATATTGATCAAACAAATAAAAAACGGAAACGTAAAAAAAACAGATTAAGCGATAGTAACGACTGGGAATACAATAGTAATAAGAAGAAAAGAGAAAAAGGAGAAATATATTTGGGAAGAAAAGACAATAAGTTTACTGTAAAAAAATGCATAAGACAAATTAAAAATCGTTGTTTATGTTCAGAAGAAAAAAGGAATGCATTTGCATGTTATAAAATTAGCGAAGAAGAAAGGCAACTCATTTTTAAAGAATTCTGGAATTTTTCTTGGAGAAAGAAAAGGTCTATGTTTTAGCAAGAATGATGGCAACAGAAACTAACAGAGCGAGAAACAGAAAAGATGACAGTATAAGCCGAAGAACTGCATCCTGCAATTATTTTTTAAATACGAAACAAAAGAGAGTTAGGGTATGTAAAACCATGTTTTGCAACACTCTTGGAATGTCCTAAGAACAATCACTCTTTGGATTCAAAAGGGCCTTTATTCGACAAAAAACTGCCATAGTACAGAAACCTGCAGAATTTAAGAATCAAAGAAGACTTGAGAAAAAATTATCGATCAAAGAATGTTTAAACTGTCTACCAAAATAATTAGAGTCACACTATTGCCGTAAATCAACCTCCAAATTATATTTAGAACCTCGATGGAGAAACAAATCTGAGCTCTACACTATTTATAAAGATACCTGGTGTAAAGAAAACAAAATTCAGCCAGCCAGTATGACGATGTTTAAGTATGTTTTTGAAGGAATGAATTTATCATTTTTTTCGCTGAAGAAGGACGAATGTGATATTTGCGCAGCTTACAAAACAAAGAACATTTCCGAAGAAATCTACAAACAGCATGTTTTGAAAAAGGAAGAATCTCGTGACGAAAAAGAAAAGGACAAAGGATCATCTGATAAAGTTTTTATAATGGACTTACAATCGGTGCTCCTCAGCCCAAAGTCGAACGTTTCTGCATTATATTATAAAACAAAGTTAATTGTCCATAATTTTACCATCTTTGACTTACATTCAAAGGACGGGTATTACTTTCTATGGCATGAGGGGGAAGGTGAGCTAAAAGCAAATTGTTTCGCTTCAATTATTTGTAATTTTTTAAGTTTAAAAATGTTGTCCACTATTAAAACAGATAATAAACCTAATATAATACTTTATAGTGACGGGTGCGGTGCACAAAATCGCAACTCCATTTTGGCTAATGCTCTGTTAAACTTCGCGCTTCAGAATAATGTATGTATTATTCAAAAGTACTTAGAAAAGGGCCATACGCAAATGGAGTGCGATTCTATGCATTCCTGTATTGAAAGGAAAATTTCTGGTAGAGTTAGAAACGTACCAGCAGATTATGTGTATTACGCAAAAACTGCCAGAAAAACACCAAAACGTTACCAATCAGATTTAACAAAAACTTAAAATTTACAGCAATGGAAAATCTTCCCAATTTATACCAAGACAAATTAAAAATAAAAAAAGAGAAATTTGAGCACTTGCTAGCATTTAAAAGTACCATGGAACAAGATTACCATGCATTTTACGACTCCCTTGTACATGAATAGATTGCAATGATAATATTCTTTTTTAATGTCGACTGTTTTTTTCCTATAGTTTAAGCAAATAATAATTAATACCCATCCTTTGAAAATATAATTAATATTAATGCAATAAATATAAAAAATGTCTGTCGTTATTTCTTATATTTTTATATTCTTTTAAAATCATTTTTTGTTTTCTTATTACTTCTTATTGTAATAATTATTATAATAAAATGTTTTTATTTCTTTATTGTATTATTTTTATAATTATTAATAGAAAAGTATGCTCCATTGGTTTTACTAAAAATCCATTTTTTGGTGTTGCTTTATATAATAGTTCTAGTAAGAGCTTATAACGCAACATTAAATCTAAATAAATGCCAAAGCAAAAATATCTTTGTTTTAAACAGTTTTTCTTGTCTTCTGTAAAATTTACTTTTTTGGACTTAAGCACTTTTCATATGACGGTGACCATTTGTGAAAGCCATAGCCCTCAGAAAGTCTAGATACCGCTTGACGTATACTGTCAATACAAAAAAAATGACCCCATTCAAGCTTGTCGCCATGTTAGGTAAATTTATGTTTTGGCTACACTGATTTTTAGTTTGTGTGTTCTGTAATACGTGAACACCGATAATCTGCACTTTGTTATTAGTTATAAGTGAGTGAGACGCACAATTTCTAATTTCAAATTAAGAACAAAACTTTGACAAACCTATTTGATTTTCCTAGATCTGTTCAGACAGGACCGGTTTTATAAAATTTCTCGTTCTTGAAATGTTATTTTTACATGGTTATTGGATAAGTGGTTTGTGTACATGTTACCGTGAAACTCCGAAAACCGGTGATTGTCAGAATATACCAGTGAATGTCAACATTCACCAAGTTACTTGGCGTATGTCCGATATATTCATTAATTATTATTATTTCTAACTATCACCGGTGAATATCAACATTCATCATACACTCATGGTGTATGTCTAAAAGAATTTTTTATAGAAAGAAAACAAACACACTCTATAGGTTATTCTTATTTTATTTTCATTAAAACATGGAAGAAGTTTCCAAATGAACATAAAGTTGTTAAACTTAAAACAAACACAACAAACATATCTAATATTAATATAAAAATAAAATCCATTTTATCTAAACTAAAATTAAAAAAAAATGAAGTAAATGTATGGCCACCTTATTTATTGCAACAGCTTAAGCTACCATGACATTTTGAATTACACAAAAGGCTCTTATTTTTACAGCTACATTTAGACGTGGAACATTTCTTTTTGCAGTTACAGCGTGTATAGCCTTGCCCTCCACTTTTTGAATTAGCAGAAGCTGCTTGTCTTACCGAAATTTCTTCAGCTGAAATCTCATCCATGGAAATTAACTTTTCTTTGCAAATTGCAAACTGATTACGGGTGAAAAGCTGCTTCAGGGTACCATTTTTGTTTGCTAATTTATAAAAGTCTGAATCCTCTACTCCAACAACAATGGCTAACACATTTCGGGGATCTGTACGACCACGGTCGACGTCAGGGACTTTAATTCTTACGGTATCACCAATTTGGGCGGCAGGAAACTTTTTTTTAGAAGTTCGCAACATTTTTGTTGCTTGGAGTAGTAGATTCTCTTTTGCAGCTACTCTTTTTGAATTAATAAGCTCGTGCTGCATAGTCAGTGCTTGAGATGAAGGCGTAATCGGTTGTAGATCAGTCAATGATTGAGTTGAAGACGTGCTGGGTTGCGGATTAGTCAACACTTCATATGAAGGCGTAATCGGTTGTAGATCAGTCAATGATTGAGTTGAAGACGTGCTGGGTTGCGGATTAGTCAACACTTCATATGAAGGCGTCTTGGATTGCGGATTAGTTAATACATAAGGTGAAGGTGGATTGGTCTCAACCATGTTACTTACATCTGAAACATGGTCATCAATTAAATTTTCTTCACAAGTATTAACGTAAGCTTCTAGCTGTTCCTCGGTTTCAATATTTGTAATTTGCTCGTTGGGGAGAGATGACGATGCTAGGCCTCTTTTTGGTTTAACGCCAAACAAAGCTTCATAGGGACTTTGGCGTATTCCTTCATGGTAAGTTGTGTTTTTGGCGAATTGTACAAACGACAACCCTTCTGACCATTTATTTGAATCATTATCGTGCATCCACGCAGTTAACATATTCTGTATGTCCTGATTGGCTCTTTCGACTGAGCCTTGTGTTTGGCTGTGACGAGGCTTTCCGTGCACTATTTTAACATCTTTCCACATAGCGCATAGTTCAGATATGACTTGGTTACTGAACTCTCTGCCATTATCCGAATGCAATATAGCGGGAGCACCAAATATTAAAAAAATTTGAAGAAGGTGATATGCTACTTCTTCTGCTCTCTTGGTTTTTAACGGTCGTAACTGGACAAACTTGGTTAAGTGGTCTTGGTAAACCATTATAAATTTGTAATCGCCATCACTGTGTGATTGCAAGTCTATCAAATCGACTTGACATCTAGAGTTTAATTCGGAACTCACCATTGGTTTTACAACAATACCCTTTTTAGGCGCACTGTGTTTCATTTGACATTGTTTACACAAATTTAAATACAGCATTACGACTTCATAAGTTATATTTTTGTATTTTACTTGCAATTCTTTCAGCATTCGTGTTCTTCCTCCATGGCCTGTTCGTATGTGAGTTTCGGAAAGTATACTGAACAACTCTTCGTTCGTAACATAATACTGGATATTTGTTTCCCCTGGTTTTAATGGCACAATTAACTTTTGTTCGTCACTAACTTTTAAAATGTCAAAACGTTTTAAACGTCTGTAATCCAAAGGAGTACTGCACTTACTTTTAGCAGAAATTACTTCAGAAACGATTTTAGAGTACCTTTCTTGAGAAAAATAAAAACAATTGTCTTCTCGTTTACTTCTTATTAGGGTATTTAATTTTTCAAGAAATTGATTACTATTTACTGCAATAGCCATCGAGTACAAATTATATTACCGCTAACAATGAAACTTTTTGTAAGACTGGCGGGCGAGGCGACAAGCCCACACGAAAGCGAAGCGAAGAAACCACACAAAAGCCTGTTAGGACCTGTCGGTTCCGACATCGACCGAAACTTATATGTGTTTGTCGACATACACCGGTGAAGGGCCGAATTTATTATAAAACCAATAATTGTTCGGTCTTTCACCAATTCATTTGGTGTCTGTCGACATTAACCGGTGTATGTCAACAATCACCAATTTCGGAGTTTCACGGTAACATACATATTGCTATGAGAATTATAGAGAAATTCAGTGAGATTTATGTAATATAATTCAAATTACAAGTAAACCATCTGTTTCTGTTTGGCAATATGGAGAAAATACATACTTCAATGTCAAATGTACTATTTAAAAGAATGTGATTGTTAACCGGTCATTTATTTATATTATATTATGAAAATAAAAACTCGAATTTTTTAACTAGGGAAAGATATACTTACATCGGTAACAAGATATTTTAGAAAAACTAATAGATTACTCCTATTCCTATAGTTTATTTAAAAATGAATAATAGCAAAATTATATAAAAATATGGACCTTTGCCATAAAAACTGTGCTACCAAGCATTTTCAAATAAACTATAATGATAATTTGATTTAATAGAGCGAGTATAAGATCTCACCTGTTAGAGAAATTGGGGCATAGGGAAGAGATTATGAAGCAGGTAAGCAAAGTCATTGCAAAAGATAAATATATAGAAGTTATTTTAAAAATTTGATAAAAAACTAGTGGAACAACAAATGGAGTTGTCGCTATCGGATATCCAATCAGCAGAAAGTAAAAAAAAACTTTGGGAATGTTGGAAAAGGGCCCAGCAATAGGCCCAAAACAATTCCTTGGTTTTTTAATAAATACAATCTGAGATGCAAAAAATACTGCTAGAGTGGAGAAGCAGTATTGTTCTAATGTAGAAAACCCAGGGACATACAGTAGTGCACTAACCATAGGCGAATAGTCACTAAATTATACAAGAGTCCCATCTCGATTTTATTTTTAAATATTTTTGAGAATACCTATTATTATTTGTTACATTGAGTTTAATAAAACCACAGATTTCGAATGTATTGAAAGTTATTTAAAAAGTACGTCTATAAATTGTATAGAAAATGTGTATATGACTAACTGGTTTTATTAATCTTTTTTTGGGGTAGGTAAATATATTTTGAAAAATTTACAAACTTCTTTTGAATAAAACACAAAATGTTTCTGTTTTTATTAACTGAACAATATTTTATACGAACATAATATATACCTATTTAAAAGAAAATATTACATTTTACAAGTATCGCATATTTATATGAAATAACTTACTCAATAAGAAAGAATTAAATGAAACAAATTAATAAACAATAGATATGAAAAATTGCTTTAACAATTTAATCCTTAGATAAACTTATTCTTACATATTGCTTTAATCAATTTATTTACTATAAAAGTATATTTCCTATCATTTATTACATATAATAAAATAAAGCATAAAACATACAGACTATAATATGTACCTACTTGGAACGGAACTAATATTATTGTATCAAGGTAGTAATAGTGGACATTTTCCAAATAAAAAAAAGTAAAAAAGAAGTAACGGTCGACACGTTTTTCTGACTATTGGTCTTCATCAGTACGGTGCAGCCAAGTTCAAAGGATCATGGAACTTGTGTTGGAAAAATTGTACAATAGGTCACTAACAAGGAGCCAATAACACATTTGCCGTTTCAGCTAGTATCCCCAAATTTTCTGGACTTATACTAAAGTCACAAAATGATTCAATGGTCTTCCTATGGCTATCAGTTATTATTTCCTAACATTTTTTTGTATGCTACAACAAAACATACAAATTATTTGATTTTGTAAACATACAAATTATTTGATTTTGTAAACATACAAATTATTTGATTTTGTAAATACACAAATATTTGTGAAAACTTACACATGAAATGTTATTCCTTCCTTGTATCTTCTACCGTTAGATGCATTG